AAGTAAAATAAAAGAAAAAGGCCGCTTTAAATAAAATGAAGATGAAGCCCTTTTCAAACGGCCGCCAAGTGTCCAAGTCAAGTGCACAAAATTAAGCTCTGCACACCTGCCGGATGTTTGTGCGGCATCTACCTCAACTTGGCCGTAAAATTTTATGTTGCAATAATTTAGCTTTAAAATCGCACCGTACCCCCGGCAGATGACGTGGGCGTTTCGGGGGCGGGGCGGGGTGCTGGGGCATTGGGGGCTTTTGGACGGGCAGCACCTTGGCGCACGCACTTAAACGGAAATAAAATAAAATTACAAAAAGTGGGCAACTTTTTGACGTTGCGATTGTTATCCTTGCCGCTGCTGCTGTTGCTGCTGCTGTTGCTCCTGTAAACGGCTGACAGAAAGTGATTTAGAAACTATGCCAATGCTGCCCCTGCCCCTGCTGCTGCCCTGCCACAGTTGGCCACGCTGGGGCTGCGTTGTGGCATTTGTTTTTTGTCGACCATAAAGGTGAATTTAAATTTGGTATTTTTAGACCGTCTCATTTTCATTTGTGCGTTGCCATAAAATATGCCATTGAAATTTGCAATTGAAATTGAAATGGAAATTGAAGTACAGCTCGTACAGTTTTTGGCTTGTAAATAAACACTTAATAGGCATTGAAATGCAGCTTAAATCAGTATAACTCAATTTGTTGCACTCATTGCCACTCATATGTGCCTCAGTAGCGAGTTGTTTGCCGGATGTCTTCTCTGCGTGAATATGCTAAGAATGTCGGAATACCGTTTACATATTTAATGCGCTCTAACTGGCTTAATCAGCATTACAAAGTAATTAGAGTTAATTCCTTTGTACTTGAATGCGTGTCACACACAAATACACACACACACACACACATACAAACACACCTGGTATGCGGCATTTTTGTCTTGCCAGGATGACGCTGAGAATATTTGTAAACTGTTGCGCGCCAATTTGCATGGTTAATTATCTATTAACCTGCGCATAACTTTTATACAAACGGATGGAGGCGAGCAGCCTGCTGCCTGCTGCTGCTACTTGTAGATGTTTACACACACATACACACATACAGGCACACACACTCGTAGAGGGACGCGCGCACGCAAGACTAAAATGTATGTATATCCGTTTCCGCCTGCTGTGTCATTGTCGCTTTCGCTGTCGCTGTCTCTTTCCTGTTTCTGTTATATAAGTCTAAAGCACAGAACAGACAACAAGTAAGGAGGAAACGGAATGGGTGGGAGCGGGGCTTTGGAGGGGAGTGGTTATAAAAACAAGTTATGCTAATCTTAATGCGATGCCATTTTCAGTTGCCATTCGCAATTTAAAGCAGTCCTTTTGTTCTGTTGCCACTGCATGCCGTAATTTATGCTTATTAAATATTTGTGCTTAATTAAAATTTAATTTTTACTACACAACAGTTGCCTGGCACTGGCGACAGTCGACCAGCAGCTGACAAAGTGAGTCCAGGTTGAGATCTGTGACTGTCACCGATGCCATTTAAGATAGAATATCGCCGTAATTGCTTAAAGCTACTAACCATAAATCCATGCTGGCCGTTGGCTAGGAAACTATTAATTTTCTAAACTAAACTGAGACTTGAGCTCATGATGATAGTGAGCTTCACTTAAATCTGTGTGAGCTGTAATTATGCCGCAAAGTACATTAAAAACCTTCCGAAGTGTGCTTCGAAAAATTGTATCAACTCAAGAGCAGGGAAAAATGTTGCTGCCGAGAAAATCTTGGCATTTTAACAATTTCAGATTTTAGGTGAATTTTTAGGCATTTTCTAGTATGCTGTGGTAAAACAAATATGGGAGAAAACCCTTTCTAATTGAACCATTTGGGTGTAGAAGGATACTTATAATCAATTTGAACCCTTTTCGGTTAATTTTTAAGGGGTCGCAATCGTTCCCAATCGATCTACATTATTGACACATTTTTGACAAATTGCCAGGCTGCATGGATTCCGTTTGCGGGCAGTGTCCGTTTTTTGTATTTTTATATAGCAGAAACGTGTCTGGCATACTAGAACGAAACGAACTACTGGCCAAAAGGTTGCATACCTTTTGGCCTGACTGGGTTAGCAGGTCGACGGCGTGAGGGTTTTATTTGTTTGTTTTGCTCGCAATGCGAACCCTTGTCAAGTGCAACAGCCCCCGCTGCTGGCATTGCTGTCGTGCTTTTCGGACTACTCTCCTGGTATGTCCTTGCTCCGCTTTAGCGCCTCTGCCCTGCTGCTCTGCTGGCCTTAATTATGTGCGGCCCAAGACAAAATCAAATGCACACGCCACTCACATGTACAGCCTAGGCACAAGGCACACGGCACACTCTCGGTCTCAGTCGCAGCCCTAGTTAATTGCTCCTGGCGCCACTTGACCGAGCTGCAGCAGCAGCAGCAGCAGCAGCAGCTCCTCGCTGCCTACTGGTTACGTTTAGGTTGACAGCTTAAAACTACCTCACGACATCGGCGAGCAGACAAGTCTTTACTTTTGGTCGCCTCTGGGCAACTTTTGATTATTTAAAGAGACCGAGCGACCATTGTCTGTGCTTGACCCTCGCTCGGCTTCCTGTCCTGCTTGTTTCGGTTGCCTATTTATTTGCTCACGCCTTTTCATTGGTGCGCCCCTGGCCCATGTCTTTGTCTGCCTCGCTGCGTTGTCATGCACAATCTGCCAAAGAGGTTGCTTTGATGTCCCCCTATCAGCAGTTCATCGCTCTCAACTAGTGTACTACAGGTCCTCTCAAAAAAAAAAAAAAGGGTTCAAATTACGAGTACTGTTATGAACCAACCTAAAGGGCGAACAATTTTCAACATGGCTTTGAATCGCATACCCATGCGACAGTTGAGATATTTCTTTTCATTTTCTCTAATAATCTGGCCAAACTTAAATTGTAGAAACACAGATTTCTTTAAAATGTCCTTCACCAAATCTGAAGCCTAGATATGACTAGCTATATATTTATATAAACAACTTGGACTGCATATTTTCTGCGCTGCTAAAATTGTTTATAGTTGTCAATTACTTGGAATCCCTGTGGCCACCAGGTAATTGTGAATGTCACGCCTTAGCGGGGGTAAGGGATAAACGTAAGGAACAAGGACCGACGATTCACGCCCCAGAAATGCCACATCCAGCTACTTAATTTCCGTTTCTAGTGAATTTCTTTGCGGCTAATTTTGTTGCCCAAGCACACACACACACACACAGACAGAGCGGGGTGGGCTTAAAAGCTGAACTGGGCCACTCACACAGTGGCAAATATTTATGTGAATGTGAACACACATACACATATAAACTTGTACATGTATAAATGGATTTTTACTGCTTTCTGTTTTCGCTGACCTGTCGTATGCCTGGCGCTTAGTTTTGTTCAACCGAATCAAACCCAAGCAAAACAAGAAATTTTAATCCTGTCGAGAGTTGGCGACTAGAAAATACTCTGTTGTGTATAAATTGTGGGTATAACATATAAATTAACAATAATTCTTGAATCTTGCTCCCTAATGAAATTGGTAAAGGTAGCCAAAAAGGGGAATGTCCTATATACTTGTACTTGTAAAAGGGGTATGTCCTATATACTTTGTACTTGTAAGCCTAAGTCCTAATTTATGATATTGTAAAAAGCCTGCAGCTGGGAATCGATAGAAATAGCTATTATACATAAAATTTGAAAATTTACTTACGATTTTAAAACTTTCCTATACCCTGCTTATAATGCATTTTCAATTGGTGGAGGCTATAAAAAAAGAGAAGTCTTTAATGTCTCCACTCAGCAGAGCAACAAGCTGCATATTCAAGCCGATGCTAGAAGAGAAAGAGACGGAGTTAGAGAGAGAGAGAGAGGGAGTGTGAGTAAGAGAGACAGCAAATTGGAATGGAACAGAGCAATGTTTATTGGCGGCCATTTAATGCAGTGTAGTACGTGTGTGATACGCTCCTGTAGCCCTGTTGTCCTGCTCCTCCTCCCGCTCCCTCTTCCCTTCCCCTGTCCCAAACTTAACGTTCAATCCTTTCCCACTGACAGGGGCCGTATGCTGTTGAGCGTTGAGCATATTAAGCCATTCTGAAAGCCGATTGCACGCTTTTAACCCGAAACTCAACGGCTCGACGTCTCAGACAGAACTTTTAACTGGGATGCATAAAAGCTGCACGGCCATTACTATCAGTTACAGTCTCTCCAGGACAACAACAACAGCAACAACAACAATGGCTGCGATGACTGCTGCCATTGTGCTTGGCCTGCACTAGTATTGCCAGTGAACCAGTGAGTGTTTGCTGCCATTTTTATTTGAAAGAACCCGGAACAGGGTTTATGGCAAATGTGCATTCACTTGCTCTCTCTCTCTCTCTATCTCCCTCATTTTCGCTGCCTCTCTTTCTTTCGATAACTGTGTGTGTTTGTGCAATAGCATCGCATTGTCCGTGTTCCATTGTCTCGCAGCTAGGGCCTGTATCGTCTGCGGTTAGCATTTCTATAGACCACTGATAGCAGTGCCTCCCATCTCGCTCGAGGCCCCCCCATATTCCAGGTAAGTCTGTTATGTGTAAGTCATATTGTGTACTTATGTGTAATGGCGAAACACCCGCCCATCTTCCGTTTCTCTGTGTCACGGACTTCCCTCGCTCTTTATGAGCGAAACTGAAGAGGAAAAGCCGCGCACATTAGGTGCGTGGGTAGCATGCGGCAAGTGGCAAGTGGCAAGTGCTATTGGAAATTAACATTAATAATTAATTTCGATTTGCAGCAATTACAATTGCCATCGACTAGAAATGCTACCGCGCTGCATTAGCAACAGATTTATGTGCGCATTTATTCAAATTGATTGATTTATTATACATATTTATTGATGCATTAGTTGCCTAAGGGCCAGATTTTATGGTGTGCTGCCGCTTGGCTATAAATGTTACAATAATTTTTAGAAACGCATTATTAATAATCTGCAAATCTGTCTAAGCTTCTATACAAACGTATTCTATGCACAGGGCTATTTAGAAAAAATCTATGTCTATGGCAATCCGGATGCCATAGCAATTCAATGCATGTCGCCCCCAAAGCCAACGGTGGCCGTGCCCACGGTAAGTTCAACATTTTCAGCTCCAATTCAGGTTCGTTCAAATGATTTTAGTTCAACATGAATTATTAAGCAGTCAAAACAGTTTTAAGGCTTCAAATAATAGGTTGAAAACAATTTAGACTTAGTTCGACTTGGCTAGTAAAGTCCCTAAAGTGTAAACTAATTTAATATTGAACAATGATAAATAGATTAGTAAAATGATGAACAAAATGTGGATTAATTAATGCTACATTAAGTTGCATTTGTAAGGTTTCTTTCCCAATTTGAGTTTAATATGATTTTCCCCATGTTATTATTAATTTGATTTCCATTTTGAAGGATTTGGAGAATGAGCTTTCGACTGAATCAGATCCTGAACTCTTAGCTGATCCTGAACAAGAAATGGTGTGTTTTTTGCTCATATTTTTATTATTTCTCCTATTTTTGGTTTTTTTTTTTACCTTTTATTTATTATTTTATTTGATGTTTATTTCATGTTGAATGCCACGAAATGCATTTAGAATTCACCACCCGATGAGCCCGTCGTCGATGAGAATGATATCACAAACGAAGGGTGGTGGTCCTCGGCAAATATTGAGGTTTGTTTTTAATCAGATATAAGTTAACCAACTCGAGAGCAGGCCAAACAATATTCAATTCAAATCTATGGAAATACAGGCCTGCTCCACATGGTATTTCGATGCGGTTTATTGCAGTCGCCGTTGCAGTTGCAGTTGCAGTTACATGCTGAACAGCATTTATGGGCATGGCAACAAAAGCTATTTGCATTTTGCGTAAATGCGTTCTCAATAAGCCAACGTCACTTACATCTTCTACTTGTTCTATTTTCATCACAGGCAACTGACATTTTCGACGACAGTGGTTTGCAGGCCCCCGGACAGACGCAGTTAACGCACGAGAGACGTAAGTTCACCTGATGCTGGACTTTGTCCGGATTTTAATTAGGCAACCTGCTAATGGAATGACTTTGCTTTTGCTTTTGCTGCTCTCCCTTCCGCAGCATATCGCGGCATTAAGGGCGAGAAGGGCGATCGAGGACCCAAGGGCGATAGTATACGTGGTCCACCTGGGCCGCCTGGTCCGCCGGGTCCCAAAGGTGAAACACCATCGTATCCGCCCTTTGTGGAGACACCAAGTGCGGGGGCTGTAAGTATAAAACTCGACTTGGCACTTATTTTCTGACTTTGCAAGTGCACAGAGACGGTGCCCATTTATTTGCACACCAAACGACAAAGCCAATGGATTCGAAGTGGTAGCCGAATCCGTTACTCTGGTGATTCCAAATTGGCAAATACCAAAAAAGTGTCTGTGCACTTGCAAAATCTTTCAGGCACTCGAGGAGGACTCTGTCTAGATTAATTCGGTTACGGCTTGGTTATTCAATGGCATATTTTTGTATCAATTGTAGAAATACACTGGCGAATGTACATGTAATGCGTCTGATATCCTGGAAGCCTTGAAGGACAATGAAACGATACGCGAAACGTTGCGCGGCCCGCCCGGCCCGCCGGGCAGAGATGGAAAGTCCGGAGCCCCTGGACTTACCGTAAGTACCAGCGACTACTTTATACTTAGTTTATACAAGTGTAACGGGTTGGAAGGCCAAAATGGCAAAAGTCAATATTTGATATGGATTAAACGCATTTTCAATTTCATGACACACATCTTCTAATCTTGAAGTGGAAGAGAGCATGGCAATAGCAGTGCGATGGTTATCACCAGCTGGTTACACACACACACACACACACATACGCAGAAGCACACTTGAATGCGCTGCGCTCTTAAAGCAAGTCAAACATCATAATTTGTGCGTGTGTGCGTGCTTGTGCGTGTAACCGGAAACGAGGCAAAACGTTAACGTGCAAGCAGGAAACGAAAATTTCTTTATAACTTTGTGCTCGCAAACGGCAGGCAACTCAGACTTAAACACTTATCCACTTTGGGCGCTACTCGTTATATTATCTCATCAACTGGCAACGTCTTTTGCAACCAAAAGGAGTTGTATCTATCTAAGGGCACAAAGAGATTCCACTCTCTCTCCCTCTCGGCAACTGGGTGCCAGTTGGTGCGCGTGTGTGTGTGTGTCCGGCCAAAGGCTAAGTCCACTATGCTGTTGGCCTCAACATCCACTCAGCTCAGAAGTGCCTGCCACGCCAAAGAGCCAAAGAGACTCGTAACTTTTGTGGGTCTAGCCAAAAATATGAAATCTGTGAAACGTTGCGTCTATGTTCGCACATAATCTCGTAGCCTTAGCATCCTGCAAATGCATTTTTATTTTGGCTCAGTCATAGACAACACTTTGCTTAGTCTCTCGAAAAACAAAAATGAAAAGAAAAAAAAAACTGTACTCATTGACAATGTGCTTAGCAACCTGTGTAACGCAGCCTCTTCAATACGTTGCAATATATCAAAAGAAAAGCGGTATGCAAAACATTTTGGTGGCTAACAACAAACAGCTCTGAGAATATGCCAGCTTAAAAATGCAAAAAGACCCAAAAGCTGACCCTCTATAGGACGGTCCTTGCCCGTTCCCAAAACCCTTCAGATATCCGAAATGCTTGAGTAAAATATGGCGAACTGGTGCGCATACCGGAAATTCCTGCGACAATTTTGTTGCTCTACTGCTAATCCCTTAACTAATAGCAATTAATTTAAAAGACGACGATAAGCAACAGAACATTATAGCAATAGCAACAACTGCCAGCCACTGAAATAACAATGTACAAAGGACAACGGCAACACGAACAATCCGATGGCGAACAGAACACGCAAATGGCGCACAGCGTGACCATTTTGCATAAGATTAAGGACATCGGGAGACACATTTTTTGTGCAGCCAGACCACAAACACAAAGCTAATGCCCACTCCCCAAATCCTCCCATCCCCTGCTATTGAGCCTGGGCAGCTGGGCCGCGTAGATTAATGAGCTCGGGCTAAAACGCGGCGATTATGTAAATCGACCGCAGCCAGTTAAAAGCTACCAACTGGCCAGCAGGCCCCCAAATAGTTTGTAGACTATATATATACCCTATATATATATATACATATGTAGTTATAGCCGTGGCAGTAGATGCAGACATTGCCGTAGACGTAGCTGTAGTCGTACATTCTATATGCACGCCCACTAATGTGATTTATTTCTTGGTCGCCGGCGGCGCCGTTTTTTCTTGTCTTTTTCCTTTTCTTTTTTTTTTTTTCTTTTCATTTGCAGGGTGCCACTGGCGTAACTGGCGCTCGCGGCCCGGAAGGTCTGCAGGGGGAGAAGGGCGAGCCAGGCGTCGACGGCATGCCCGGAGTGATGGGTCCGCCCGGACCTCCGGGCCCGCCTGGCTTGCCGGAGAGCTATGATGTGAGTACAACTTTAATTCTATTCAAAAATAATTATAAGAATATCACGAGTAGAAATTGTCATACTTAACACAATTATATTTTCATTATATTAACGTTATTTTCTCTTAGTTGATTGTGTTTCTAATTATTTTGTTAACTTTATTATCATCAACATATTTATTTGTCACAGGGCTGCAACAAAACAAAAATTGCAAATGATTCGGCTTCCGTTTCCCCCCAACTTCCTGACTCAGTGGTTAGTTTTTTCTTTTGTTTTATTTTTAATTTTAATTTAACATTTTAATTTTAAATTTACATTGCCCGTTGTTCTGAAAATATTGTAAGCTGTACATATTTTCATATACAAAATTCGGGCTAAATTTGTTTTCTATCTAAAATTGGCATCTTCCAATATGGTTGAAAATGGTTTAATCCATTAAAAAGAAAATGGTTCGGTTGTTAACATACTAATTTGAATTCCTGGCTCGAACCGGCTTGGTTCAAAACTCGCTTGCAGCGATTTTCGTTCTTTACCTTACGTCTATGAAATGCATACTAATATTTTAGTGCTCTCATATGGCAGTTTATAATATTTTAAATTTGAATTCACCTTTTTGTTCACTTTAAATTTTGTACTCCAAAATGCATAAAAGAAACTGGTATTGGATAAACAAAAGAATACCACAACTAAGTCTCTTAATGCCTTGTACCATAAAAGTTTCTAGCAAAATTGCAAAATAAATATGAAACTGAAACTTTTAATCATACTTTTTGCCGAAAGTCGATTCAGCTATGTCCGTAAGTCTGTCCATACCACGGATTTCTGAGTTCATAACAGCTAGGCATACAAGCTTTGGTACAGGGTATGTTCTAGTCGCTCAATCGCGACTTGCAATTTAAACTATATAACAACTAACATATATAATTAATAGCTCTTGCGTTCTGGCTCAGTGAATACGAGGACAAGAAAGCAAGAGTATTAAAACTTCGGTAAACCGAAGATAGATATTTTTTTTAACTTGGCCCAAAAATTGCAACTTTTACGGTAGACCTCAAAGGCAAAGTCGCTCGTCCGTTTATCTATATCCGACGGATGCTACCAATCACGCACGTTTCTTTTATGAATTGTGTGCCTTGAAGGCGCATTTCGGGCGGCAGACATCGGTCATGTTTGGTCAGTCACACACAAACACACACACACACAATTTGGCTAAACCAATTTCCTGCCTAAGGAGGAGGCACGCTGCGCGCGGCGTGCGATTGCTGCACCTGTACACTGTGAAAAATTGCTGGCCAGATTTGGGCATGGCAGGTGCCCAGGACGCGTTCGCGTTGTCGCAAATGGGTTATCTACGCTAATAATCTTAAAACCACAAAGCAACAGCAACAACAACGCCTCGAACAACATGAACATCTCGCAGAAATGCCGAAACCTAAGTGTCCTGAACACGCAAACCGAAACAAGCCAAGCCCAGTCTCAGTCCGCGTCTCCGTCTCTCTCACACTCCAAGACCCGGTTCCAGTCGTTGTCGCTGTCTCCCTGCCCCCGGCTACCCTCTGCTCTCACGTGGATCCCCCCTTTGGCGACGTGCTATTGCGGGCTTGTGATTCAGGTCTTACGGAGTGCTGGCATGCCAGCTTGTGGCAATTACTGTTATCAGCGCATGGCGCGCAGTTCACGCGGTTAAACGCGCTAACACGCATACAGATACCGAGTCACACACACACACACACACCCGCACACACACATACACACATTTGTATTGCCGGCTTTTAACCCTTTTCTGCAAGCGAAAGTTTTATTTTTTTTGCCGGCTTTATCATCGCATTTCAACGCCGTATGTTGCCTGCTTGGGCGTATCTCAGCATGCTGTCTGTGTGTGTGCGTGTGTGTATGATTGTGTGTGTGCGGTTGTGGTCGTAATCATTATCGCGCTGTTACGGTTATGAGAGTGTCAAGCTACTTATGGCTAACGCGCCAGTTAAATCAGACGCTCGCACAGTCAGCCTCCCATTGTTTTATGTCGCTCGTCGGCGGGGGTTTATTATCATTATCGCATTGCTCGCTTATAGGGGGAGGGGAATGGGGGCGGGTTCGTTTTTAAAGGCGTTTCAAATTGTTGTTGCTCTTATTGTTGTCAAGCATTTTGACCTTGTCGCAGCAAATGCGCCAGGGGAGAACAAAAAAGCTTTTAAGTTTATTAGAACGACTTTTGATTGTTGACACGGAGACAACTTTTTCAAATGTTTTCCGACAAGCCTAGACGCTTGACTGCGAATGAGGTGAAGAGGGGGGGTTAAGTGGGGGCGAGGTAAATTTGTAAAAGTTGCAATTTTACAGCCAGTTGATGAACTTTTGAACACCATCAAATTGAAATCATATAATAATACGCTTTAATTCCACACCCATTGTTCTATGCTATATATATTATATACAAATCGTACCAAAAACAAAATATGTATTCTTGTAACAATCAACACATAAATAACAGATAAATTGGAATCCTACCAGGACTTTCAAGGTATAAACATTTAACAATTTCATTTTATGTTCCCACTAATAAACAAAACGAAACAAAAAAAAACCATAATAATACAAAACAAAAGCACAAGTTTGCTCTGGGTAAGCAATGGCCGCATAACCTAATGGACTAGAACCCCTCGGCGTCATTAGAGTTCTAAGCATAAAGGAAGCCACACACACACACACACACACACATACGCCCAAAAAAAAGGGGCGCATCAGATCATTAATCAAATTTCCTTAGCAGATATGTGTGTGTGTTTGTGTGTGTGGAAAACTACGTGTATTCTTGTGTGGGCCAGTTGTGGCATCAAAGGTCTCCCGCTGCTTAAAAAATGGCCCAAAAATACATGTATCGAAATATAAATTGTACGACAAGCAAATATTTAACAAATTACTATGCTTACCTTCTATTCCCCTCACACACACACACACACACACACAACAATCACACAGGAATCCCTAATGGGCAACTCAATGGGCAGCCTACGCAGCTCCACCTCCACCCAGGCAGGACCTAAAGGAGCGACCGGCGATAAAGGTGAGCCCGGACGTCCAGGAGAACGAGGTGAAAAGGTGAGTCAAAGTTCAATACCAGCGCTTGTCCCACAAATATTTCCCTATATAAATATATACAAGTGCGTGTGTGTGTGTATGTGTGTTTATGCATTATAAAGTGGGCGAACAACATTGTTTTGTCAAATAATAACTTCTGGTCTATTGATTACCCAATTGATTTCCAGGCTAGAAACATAAAATGGGCAATGACTGCCAAGAACAAACGCAAAATGTGAATTAATATACCCAACGCCAAGTTGCGCTCTTTTCCATATGCGAGAAGATTTATGTGCCGGCTTCACACTTGTCATATTTGTACTTCAATTCCCACTAAGTGGCCATCATTTAGCTGAAATTCTCAGATTTATTGCACTGCATTCATTTGCGTGGTCGGCAGTCCATAAATTGACGCATAAATTTCTATCAGACCACATACGAGAGCGAGAATGTCGCATTATTTGTTGCCTTCGCCCGGGACAATTTGTAAACGTTTATAGCTCATTTGGTTGCCAGTTGATATGATCGAGGTGCTTCCTAGTTTATTAGAAATCGTTTACTAAAGTCCCTCCCCCCCTCGTTGCTGCTCCGACAACGGTCAACGGGCAGCTCTTCTGTTGCTACTTGTATTCTGTATTATTTTTATAATAAGTTTTGGCCATTTGTGCAGCTCATCCTGCTTAGATGGCGCTTACTTCCCTGCCATTACGCTTCATGCTATTTAGCAGCTTAGGGACCGGGATTCCCAGAGAGCTCCTGCTTCTGCTTGACCCCTCGTTAGCGAGGGTCGGCGAGCCGGAAAAAGTGGCGCGCATATTTCTTTTATGTGGTGCCTCAAAACTTTAAGCTGCCAGCACATACTCTCTGGCATATAACATAATATGTTTGTAGTTTGTTTGCCATTTCTGCGTGGGCGGTGAGGGGCGGGGCGCTTGTCGCACGTGGACAGGAGCATGACGGAGGAATGGAGAAATTGTAGATTGAAACTGGGCGTTTCACGAATTGTCAGCCAACTTCCGGTGTTGAGAAATGCTGCTGTTACACCTCCAATTTCGGGGTGTGAGTATGTCAAGATTTATTTGACCCTTGATATATGTATATGTAAGTACATATACATATATTCATGTTTATTTGGCCAGTGGCAACGCTTTTTGTAGGCCTCGCTTTGGTTCAATCATTGCTTGCGCCACGCCCCCATGGCAGGCACTCGTGAACCATATTTAATCGGGCGTGAAATAAAAAGAAATTATGCAAAAGCCGTAAGCTTCTCCCACAGCTTTGTGAAGCTGTATAAAAATCGATTTCGATTTTCTGATCAATTCACGCCCAATTTACGGCCACGCATACCAACACATTTGTTATTGCATTTAAATTTTCGAAACTAATATTGAAATTAGCATTTTGAACGTATAAATGCACGCACAATTAGGTACATTTCATTTAACTCAAAAGACATGTCTGCAGCTCCTCGCAGCCACAGCCCACAGCCCTAACGCGATTCGGGCCTCCATTTAAGACAGCCCCGGAAGCAACCGCGCGTACTTTGTAATGTTGCACATGTGTATGTGTGTGTGTGTGTGTGTCTGTGCGTAGGTGTGTTTTGGGGCGTACGGGAGGCTTATTAATTATTCATTAGTTCGCATCAAGCTGCCAATATAGAGTAAGGCCTGCAGCAAACAGCACATACAGGGTCAGGTCAATTTAAAGCGGTCCCACACACGCCAAAAGCGCTCATCTCAAGCTATATACAAGGCCCCAGACTACAAATCCAAATCCAAACACACAGCCCAACCAAAACCCCACCACGTAAACTGCGTGTAGGCGCGCGCAAATTTATGGCAAACCATTTAAGGCGCTGATGATGTGGAAGACGACACTGGGGATAAATCGGGAGCACTTGGTTGAGCAGGGGCGTGGGCGTGGGCGTGAGGTGGAGGGGGGGGGGGTGGGCTGGGGCAAAACTGAAGACCGCCAGCCGTTTTGCAAACTCCGCAAGGCAAAGTCCCAAAAAGCCAGAAGTACGCATAAGCAACAGCGTACAGGGACGTCGCGATGCCTCGATTTCTCGACGACTCGACTATAATATACCCGAACAGTGTCAGTTGGCGAGCTAAGGATGAGAGGTATCTTCCGTTAAATACAACGCGTATGTTGTAAAATGAAAGATAAGTCGTAGTTATCTTTCGAACTTACCATAGAATTATGTCAAGTCGGAGACAAGCCATGCTTTTAGACAGATTCTGGTGAAATATAGAAATTAGGAAATTGCCAAAACTTTTAGATATCTTAGGAATTGAACAAGGTTCAACTTTTTACTGTTCTTTCCTTATGCAAGTTTATAGGTCTCTCGTATTGTTTTGAGATATAATTATATTTTTTATTTTATTATATACACTTAATTTATAAACTACAACAGAGTACCAGAAGATGTTCCCCTTTCAACTAGGAAAACTTGATTAGAAAACAAGCGCATTACAAGCATAATACGTCGCCCGATACGTTTTCAGTTCGGGTACAAAGAGAAGCCCGTGGGTTTCGTCTCTTGGCAATGGTTTTGTGTTTTCGGGCTTGTCACCAAGCATTGCATACATTCGGGCGCATAAATTTATATAGATGCGTATGTGTATTGGTCGTGTGTGCGTGTGAGTTGGTTTGATTGTGGGGATTGTGGATTTTAGAATTGATTTGATTTCAAAATGAGTTTGAATTGAATTTTTGCCGAGGACAAAACGTTTGAAATTGAGTTTTACGGTCAAATTAGGCGTGAGTGCGCCCCCTGGGCATGCACCGTATATTTAATACTGTAAATCATTTTACACATGTCCCTCTACTCTCTCTTTTAACGCCAATAACAGGGTCATAAAGGTGCGCATGGACCCGCTGGACCCAAGGGTGAGCCCGGCGCTCCAGGCCTACCCGGATTGGCTGGCCAGCCGGGCGATGGCAACGGCACCAAGGGCGAGCGCGGCGAAAAGGGCGAGAAGGGCATGCGGGGCAGACGAGGTGGCACCGGCGCAACCGGACCAATTGGACCACCCGGCAAACCAGGACCCATGGGTGATATCGGACACTCGGTAAGGCACTCGTAACTTTTGCATCCATATTCATGAGGCGGCTCAACTTTCACATGCCTGCGCCCATTGTCGGTGTCGCTTGCTAAGTTCATTTAGAGCCAGACGGAGTTTCTGGCCGCAATCGCGAGCTAGACAGTATCCGTAACCGAATAAGAAGAAGAGCAACAGCGGAGGCGGAAGACGGGACCCAACTTGGCGAAATCAACTCAAACGAAAAGTATTTTAAGTGCATTTTCATCACGGTTATTCAGGACGCTGACGCAGCGCACGATTCCAATTGCAGTTACCCTAGAATTTCAGTTTCAGCCATTATTCTGCAATAATAGCAGCAGCAGCAGCGGCGGCAGCAGCAGCAGTTGCAGCTGCAATAACAACAACAACAACTATTACAATGAGTAGTCTGATATAAAGGGAAAAGTTTGCTTTGGCTGTCTGCGCGTTTGCCAACTGGCATCGTTTACCGCCTCTCAAAATCAAAGTCAAGCAATGTATTTACATGAATTGCCGCACCGAAATGAAGCCAAACGAAACTTTGACTCAATTCCTGGCACTGCCACACGAGGAGAAGCAACAACAACAACAACAACAACAACAACAACAACAACAGCAGGAAGGCATCAAAGCGCTGCAACTACCAAATTGTTGCACTCTAAACTGCAAAAGTTTTGCCATTTTTGGCGATTGTTCAACTTGGTTTTTATGCCCGAGTTACTCCACTTGTTAGTAGCGATTCCTGGCAGCCGTTAGTTCCTGCCACATGCGTCCGCTTTGAATTCTGTTACAGTTTCCAGTGCCCAATCTTTTCGCTTCGAAACAAATATTTAGCCATTATTTATGCAACCCTTGTTTCTAGGGACGCCCTGGAATGATTGGACCTAAGGGCGATACGGGCGCCAAAGGCGTCAAAGGCGACTCAGGTGGACGCGATGGCGTAAGTAGTTCTGCAGTTAATTTTTTAACAAATTATTGCTCAAGCCTCTATCTATGTCCAGGCCAAAGGTGAGAAAGGTGATCGGGGCAGCGACGGCCGTGACGGCTTGCCAGGCCCACCTGGACTGCCGGCCAGCACAGGTGCTGGCGATGGTGACAGCAGTGGCGTCCAGTATATTCCCATGCCTGGTCCGCCAGGACCGCCAGGGCCGCCTGGCCTGCCCGGCTTATCGATAACTGGACCCAAGGGAGAAGCAGGCATGGATGCGCGCAGCAGCTTCTTCGGAGACGCCTCCTACTACGGTCGACCAGGTGAGCCAGTGGCAGCTTTCAAGGTGCCAACAACAAATTGTATATACAAACATATATGTATAGTTAGGTGCCCGTACTTGTGCCATGACTCATGACTGTACATATGTACCCGAAACACACACACCCGTACACACACACACACACACACCCGTACACAAATATAAGTAACTAGCATTCTCCCATACCGACTATGAAATCAATTCCAAATCATTCTGTATTGTACTCGTAATCAAGGTGCGCGCTCATCTTTAGACGAACTTAAAGCACTGCGAGAGCTGCAAGATCTGCGCGATAGGCCCACAGATGGCACAGCTGGTAAACCATCAAAATCAAATCAAATCAATCCACCAAAATTGCCGTAGTGATATTTATTTTCTTTCTTTTGATGTTGCATGCCAAACTAGTCCTAAACATTCTTGCTGTGCGTATACACATTTCACGCCCATCACGACCTTGGCATGCCTCAAGTCTAGGGTGGGGGATACGGGCTCATTATTTGCACATCATCATCATCATCATCTCATTTGCGTTAATGAAGTACCTGTAAACATTTTGTTCAACATTTCAACATAGTCATGCTTTCACTTACCAAAAACAAAAAAATATATATAAACATAAAACACGAGAATGAATGAGAATGAAAATAAGCTGTATAGATTATAAATGGTAAATTCTTATAAACGCGTGTGCTCAAGCATGAGATACCCTGTGAAAGTAGCTTTGCTTCTATTTGAAGGATATCCTAACAGGATATCTCCGAGTCGCACACACTTTATATTTGTACATATATCAAATGTATTTTAGATTTCTTGTATCCTCAATACTTATTCATTTTTTATTATTAACTTCACATGCAATATATTATATATCTTTTCCAATTGTTATATGCATTCTAGGTAAATGAAAAAAGTTGTACAAATGACATTAGTTTTAATATTATTTAGAGTAGTTGCAGTGTTGATTTTACTTAGCAGCGCGCACAGATTTTAATGCAGTTGCATATGTGTATAGATATGCACATTTATACTTGGACTTAGTTTAATACAAATTGTGGTTTAACACGCATGTCTCGAAATCATCATTTGCAGAGCCACCGCGACAGACGGCGCACTCACACAAGCACGAGGAGTCGCCCCTGGGCATTGGCTTGGGCTTGGGAGATGGCGAGGAGTTGCCATACTTTTCCGCATCATCATCGAACATGAACATGAGAATCGTGCCAGGTGCAGTTACCTTCCAGAACATAGACGAAATGACAAAGGTGCGTTGCCCTACACACACACACACAAACATACGCTCTCACACTTACGCGTGTGTCCATATATATGAGCGTATATATTTAGCAGCGTATTTTTTTAAGCATATTTAAATTTGGTTTTTGTGACGTTCCACAGAAGTCCGCGCTCAGCCCACCCGGCACCCTGGCGTACATTACCGAGGAGGAGGCGCTGCTCGTGCGCGTCAACAAGGGCTGGCAGTATATAGCGGTAAGTGAAGCTCTGGGCCTGTGCCTGAAAATGGGATTGGGGTTATTGGGATCGAGATGGGATTGGGATTGGGCCCAAGCAAACAAGTGTGGCCCGTGCGTGCGTTCGCAAATGCCAAATATGGCAAGCGAAAAGTCGCTGGCGGACGCTATTATTTTATGGAGCAGCCTTTGGAGTTGGCCCAACCCATCCATTGGCTGTTTTCTATATATTATGAAAATATGGCTCGGCAAAACAAAACAAAACACAACAAAACAAAATGCAATAAAAATAGAAAGAAGAAGGCTGGGCTGAAAGACGTTCGACGCGCATACGTTTGTTTATTTAGCCTCTTGTTTTTGGCCATAAAATGGGGTTTTGTTTGGCTATGTCCTTGTCTGGGCGGCTGCTCCTTGGGGGTTTTTTATTTGCACATTTAATGTTGCAGACGTTCTGACTGATTGCCAACGGATCGGCAACATGTCCCGAACCGTGTGTGTCCCGTTATTCAATTATATTGACTCGCGCCTGGCTTTTCACTCAGGCGAGTTAACGATACAACAAGAATTTCGAATTGCGCATTCTTAAGCCATCAGCCGTAGGAAGTGGCGCCTCAGGCTCGTAATATTGTCGCACGCCCGATGGACAGACAGATGTCAGCCAATTCGAGTCAAGCTCAGTTGCCAAAAGACATTCAGGCAGCCAGTGAAGCAATCGCAAAATCAGTCAGCAGCTGCGCTGCACAACGAAAAATAAAATAAAACAACAACAAACGAAACTTTTATTGGTAAGGAATAAGCCATGCATTTGCTTGGATCATAAAACGCAACTCGAGCTTAAATATATGATTAGAAGGAAATTGAATATTTTTACTCAAATGGCGCTGTTCAACCTTAGCACGCTGCAGCTTCAATTGGCGAACTTCATTACTCAACACTGTCAATTAATCTTGCCTGTCGCCAGTTGCCCAGTTCCAGCTGACGGTACAATGCTTCCAATTTGCCCTGGTCAGCACTTGTAGAGCACATGAGAGAAAAAAGTTCTTGAAGCGTCCACAAATTACACGCAGAATTGAACCATTTTGCAATAGCTTGTTACACATTAAAGTGGCCACAATTTGCGAGCAGCTTTCGGACCGGTGGTTTTGAGATTTGTGGCAACGCTTTATTAAAAAAAAAGTATTGCATGATTTTTGGGGCGCCTTATTGTGCAGAGTGTAGCACAATACATATGCTCAAAACTGTTCAAGATTCGATTTCCGCTTCCGTTGTTGCATGCACAAAGCCAATACCGACAGCTAGCACAGCATGGGCTGGGGGCGTGGCCAGCCCACTCACCAACTGGTTACTGTGCCTGGCATGTGCATACCCACAAGAAGGCAAATGGAAATGAGCAAGGCTGCGGGTAACGCAGGCAGGGTTCAGGGAGGAGTCGCAAATCGCATGCCTTTGACGGCAACATTTAAATACTTTTGGCAACAAAACGTGCATGATGGGGCTTCCTTTGAATAATGTCGGTTAAATCAAGCAAAAGCTCATTGCCTGGGCTTTTATTTCCTTGCCAGAGCCTGGCATCTGGCTGTCTAAGCTACTTGCAGCATCAGTGGTGACATTCGCGTCCTAATTAGATTTCAGTACACGAGTCAACTGCTTAAAGTTCAAAATAGTAATTAAAACTTTTGTCAGACAGTGGCGCACAGTGTCTCGCATTCTATTCACAGTTCAGCCAAAAATTTAATGCTTAATTATTACAAATTACATTGAGAAGAAACTTTATTAAATTAAAGTTTTACTAATGTGATTTGTAAAATTGTCATCTAGACAGTAAATGCTCAAAATAGACTTCTCTTTTATTCATTTATGGAAAAAAGGTTTCCTTCATTCATAAAAATTAAACATTTTTGCTTATCATTTTGGGCTGAAAAAGTTTCATTTTTTAATTAATTATTAAGTAAAGATTATGAACAGAAATAGGTCGTGAATGGAATAGATTTTTTTTATAGGATGACGCTTATTACAAATTGCCGAGACAATTGTTAAAACATGAAGTACCTAAACTGTGTAAGGTCCACCTGCTCCGGGTGCATTGGGATGCCGGCGAGCAGATTTCCCGCGTAGCCTATAAAATATTAATGGCCATGTTGGCTAACTGCTTTTGCTTTTAATCCGAACTTTGCCAAATTCGTTATAAACCTTTTATTTACAGCTGGGCACCTTGGTGCCGATTGCAACACCAGCCCCGCCCACCACAGTGGCGCCGTCCTTGCGCTTTGATTTACAATCGAAAAACTTGCTGAACAGTCCACCTCCCTTGCTCAATACGCCGACGGTAAGTGCTTATAATGTTGTCATATACCATCTAACACATGCACTCGTATATACCCAAAACATATTTGTGCTTCGACTACATTTAAAAGCGAGTGGGGCGCTTGTGCAGCTGAAATTGCGTTGTGAGGTGTCTAAATTAAAAGCTTTACAAATATTTCAAATAATTTTTGGCCATTCATGAGGCAATATCGCTGCATAAGTGCCGCTATCATGCCAAGTGCCTCAAGTGCAAAGCTATTCACAAAACACGCAAAATCAATTACAGAAAATAGCTCGACACTCGATAGCTTTAAATTGTATAATTAATATCAAGTGAAAAATTTAAGCAATTCAGTTAATAAACACTACTAAAACCATTTATTATTAATTATTATTAAATGCAGTTTACAACCGCGCCCGAGTACGAAACGGTAATTAAATAAAATATCATACACTGAATGCACACAAAGAGAGCAAACAAAAAGCAAAATAATACTAAATCGAATTAACGCATCTCTTGCACACACACACACTTCCACACAACTATATATATACATATATATATTGATATATATTTAATCTGATTTTGGTTTGGTTTGGTTTGGTCGATGAAAACGTTTCTAATTAGTGCAAATTGCAATTTGAGTTCTGCTCTGTAACATGCAGATATATTTGTGTAGTTCCCTTTTTGAGTTTCTATTATAACTATCAATTATTTATTTAACATTTATTCTATGTTCATGCTGAAATCAATATCAGTAAATGCTTTTGTGTAGTTAATGCTTTAAGAAGTGTATCTCAACTCAGCTGAACAAGCCCAACAAGACTACAGCAAAGGCAGTTGAGACCTTCTCTATGCCCGTTTTGTTCTTTTTTGTGTATCGTGTAAACATTTTTCTATCTATATATATATCTCTCTTACAATGAACCTTTTTTGTACCATTCTCACGCTTGCGTCGTCGAATAATATTATTGGGATCGTTAACAATAAATGATGCTCAATAAAATACCACACGAAATTCTCGTATTACATTCACAGTGGTATCCGCGCATGGTAAGTGACCTTTTGGTACAATTAAAAATATGCCAGGCGCCCCCAAGTGAATGCCTCCCCTACATACATATATATGTACATGGGCATATATATGTATGCACATAAAAAGTTCCTTTCAGTTTGTAGCCTCAATAGGTTTGTTTGCTTTCAAGTTATGTTTTGCGAAATGAAATATTTCTTATATATTATACTCTCTTATCATTTAAACAGCCACAGAAACAAGTTGAAATTTTTCCCATCCTTAACATAGCTATACAAACAATTCGCAGCCATTAAATTCTATATTAATTAGATTTCAAAATGCTTGACATAAATTCCAAATTAATTTTCTACCATATTTTCTGCGCTCCATTCATCCCCATCCTCTCAACCCATAGCTTCGCGTGGCGGCCCTCAATGAGCCCTATGGCGGTGACTTACAGGGCATTCGAGGCGCGGACTTTGCCTGCTATCGCCAAGGCCGGCGAGCGGGTCTGCTGGGCACCTTTAAGGCGTTCCTCACCTCCAGGTAAGCAGGGGCAAGGGGCAAGCTGGCAGGGCTCAGAGAGTGACAGAAGGGCCGGGTGTGTCTTATCTGTCCTTAGATTTTTTTACGCGTATTAGACATGTTTTTTATATTTAGTTTGCCACTGTGTGTACTTTAGCCAGGCACTCGACGAGATTTCGAGATGGCATTGCTCATACGCAGCGTTGGGCGCCGCCCGGTGGCGCTTTTGGAACTCATTAACTCGAACATAATCTTGATATTTGAAGCAACGCAGGGAAGAGCTCACAAAATATGAAAACAAAAGCCGCTAAAAACAATCTCGTGCAATTTATTTACAAAGCTCTGAACGGACTGGATGCCAAAATGAATGCTAATGCTGCCAGAAAGAAAGCATAAATAAATAAACGAATACATACTTATGTATGCACGTGGGTGCGGTTGTACATCCACGCATAATTGCTGGCTGTTGGGCATTAGACGCTTCCGCGGTAGTTTGTTTACCTGCGTTTAATTTCCTAGAGCAACTGCCTGACGCTGTATCCCACATTCATGTGGAATTCGCATTCGTAATCCTGCGGCTAAATGCTTTTATTTTTTTGTTTTGTCGCTCACAGGGTACAGAACCTGGACTCTATAGTGCGTTCGGCCGACTGGGAGCTACCGGTTGTAAATACCCGCGGAGATGTACTTTTCAATTCCTGGAAGGGAGTCTTTAACGGCCAGGGTGGCTTCTTCTCCCAGGCTCCGCGCATTTATAGTTTCAGCGGCAAGAATGTGCTTACAGATCCACTATGGTAAGTCCTAGCATCTTCTATATAAATAGAACACATAAACATTATTCGATTTACCGTGCAGGCCGCTTAAGCTAGTCTGGCACGGCTCTCTGCCGAACGGAGAACGCTCCATGGACACCTACTGCGATGCCTGGCACTCCAGCTCGCACGAGAAATTCGGCTATGCCAGCAACTTGCTCGGCAACAAGCTGCTCGATCAGGAGCGCCAGCCCTGCGACGGCAAGCTGATTGTGCTCTGCGTGGAGGCACTGTCGCAGGATCGGCGGAAAAAGCGTGATGTCAGCAGCAGGTAAGTGGGGCGGGCGGGGTACCAGCAACACGAGACATAACAATGAAATGCTTACACGTGTCGTATTGATTTGGCATTAACTTTTTATGGTGCACGCCACACACCCGAACTTTGCTCATTACAGTCGCAGTCACAGTCACAGTAGCAGTCGCAGCAACAGTCGCGGCAACAGCGACAGTCACAGTCCCATTGGCGAACTGGAGCTGGAGTTCAGCACGGCCGAGGAGTACGCCGAGCATTTAGACAATTTACTGCTGTAAGAGACCACCTAGAGAGAAGCATGGGCGGGAAACGGTATTTGTAACTGTAACGCGCATTATATGAATACCAATGCAATACAAATGTGAACACCACAACACACCAATACCAATGCCATACTCATGAACACTCAGACACACACAAACACATACACATTTAATGTAAACGTATATCATGGCCATGCATATAATCAGAGGATTCCAACTAAACCAAAAAATACTCAAGTAAGCGATCGATTAACAATTGCATAGTGAAATATGAAGATACATATATACTTACATACTACTTACATACGAATTACTAGACAGGTATATATATATATATATATATTCACAATATATATATACATCATTATTTCTTATGCTCGACAGGCAACAAGCATTTTTGTACAAGCGAGTTATGTATTAGTAATCGTAGCCTAATACATAGTCAAAATATATAAAAACTAAGCTAATTTTGTAATTAAGTCACAGCGCAGGCGAAGCATATTAGCTGCTGCTGCTGCCATTAAGGTTAGTCCTAGTAACATATTTAGGACCGGCGCGAACTGGTCCCCATCAATACTGTCTAGAGACCAAGCGCACCTTTCCAACAACAGCTAAACATACTAACTGGCCAAATTAGTCTCCTATCTACCCGATCAGCGGGACGACTCACGCGCAAATACATTTCACATGGCTGTATACGTGTATAAATGTATTTTGTCAAAGACTTCTAAATGTGTAAATGTATAAGATAAAAAAAACGAAAGTGAAACCAACTATAATACCGAATCAGAGCTAACAATTTTAAGCCCAAATCCAAATCCAACGTTCCAACGTTCTAACGTTTTTAACTAAATCAGCTCCAATGTGCATTATGTTTTATGCCAATCCAGTTTTCTATTCTACAAACTTACTCATAATGTAGCCAGATTTTCTACATTGAAATACTCGTTATTATATAAATGAACAACAAAACGTCAGCCCCTTTTTATATGAACACAATAGAATAACTAAATTATAGCAGTAATTGCAGTAATTTATATATAATAACAAATAAACAAACAACACGAGTACATACATGTATATGTATGTAATGTAACTTATTGTAATTCTAGAGCGAATACTGACGAGTAAAACATAATTACTTGTATCAGTATAGTTAGTTACTTAATTTAATTTGCATTTAATTAATGCATTTCCAGCTACAGTTTTGTAATGTAATTAATTGTAATTGTAATATCAATAAAGCTTATAATTTTTAATAATTAATTATAAAAGAAAACTAGACACAGAAATGCTAATTGGGTTAAAGGCAATCCCAAGCAATCACATACTAAGCATAATATACGTACATAGCTATGTATGTATGCATGTATGTATGCACGATGCAAATAACTACATTTAGTGAAATCAAAATGAATACTTAAAGCCCTCTAGTCGTAAGCCTAATACTTTTATGCAAATTGAAAGTGCATATAAAATAAATAAAAATACAATTACCTATAATAAATAAACTTTATCAACAAAACTGTTTATTCTGGCAGATTGTCACACTGCCTGACTGACAAACTTTTGGTCAACGCACAGCCTAAGTATATCATAAGTATATCATTTCACACTCGGACTTAATATGACCGATATAAGCCAATTATAATGATTTGGCAGAATGATATAACTCTTTTGACTCGTGAAACTCTATAGAACAGATTAGAATCTAAAATTAATGATTTTAGAATTGTCTGCATTTTCGACAAAATGTGGACAGTAGAGTTCCGTAAGACACCAAAATTATGTAATTGAGATAATCGCTGTCTGTAGCTCTAAAGAATAGTAGATTGGATTGACATTTAAGTTAAAGTTAATTTTTTATTTAAGTTTGTGAAATAGCGATTTAACTTTTGATAAATATATTCCACCGTTGTATCGCTATTTTACAAACTTCACAATATTTAGAAAAAATACCAATTAAACAATAAATTTTGCTGCTTCAACATAAGAGACTTAATTAGCATTAAGACAGTAGATATTAAGTTGCAGGAGAGTAGGCTTTCGATGGAAATTATCCGGAGCACATCTCAAGCAAAGTAATTGGGAAGATATTTCTTTGATCAATATTTTCCATAAAAGTTGAAATCAATTTAAATTACCATTTTAAATTCCGAACTAGACAATCACTAAAAAAAAAACAAAGCAAATTTTGTTCTTCTTCTCCATCTGTGAATGTTCATCGCACGTTTGATTACCAATTTAAATAATTTTTCACTTGAATTAAAGCAAATGATTTCAAACAGCGAGCGCCATAAAATACCACCGCCCCAGCACAGAGCCTGCTCCTCTCAGCTACATTTCGGGGGCATTGATGCTTTATGAATTTCAATGGCAGCCAACATAGTTTCAGCGGCGGCTGCGGATGCGATGTGGTCCGCACTGATATAGATACAGATACAGATTCAGACACAGATACAGATACACACGATGGAAAGCGTTTCGTAAGGTAGTCAAAGCAGACTGACAATCGACAGAGGACAGGCAACAAACAAATAAACAAGCCGACAGGCCAGAGAAAAGCCAACAATTGCGATTACGATTGCGATTGGGACTGGGACAGGAATTGGGATTCAAATTGTGGTTGCGTTTGTGAGCTGGCAGTCAGCGTCAGCCACTTAGGCACAGAGCAATCAAATCAGATGAGCAGAATGAAATTTTAATTTAATGAATGAATACGAAAATTTTTGATTAGTTGATTAGCTGTGAAGTCGAAAGGCCATCGCTCCTCTCGGATCGAGATGCTGAAACCAGCCCAAAGGGCGGGCAGTCAGGAATATGGAAGAGGTGAGTGCTGGTCGAATGGGAATCGTTGCCAAGCCAACTTAAATTAACATTTTCTTTATCTCCTATAGTCGATTGCATTTTCACTTTTCAATTATAAGAGCTGCCGGTTGGAGGTACTCGCAAACTTTTTAATTCCGACTGCGCCTGACAATGCCATTCATCATAACACGTTTAGCCGTAAGCTTATTAGATTCCACTTTTGTACCCGGGCGCGTTTACAAGTTTCTCTGCTTGTTTCTCGTTTTTCTTTTATTCCTTTTCATTTTTTGTTTTCTTTTCATTGGAAACAAAACATACAACTTGCTGTTCGCCAAACCACACAACTTACGCATTTGGCATCCTAAAGAAGTGGCTCCATGTGTGTGTGTGTCTGTGTGTCTTGGTTGTGCGGTGTGGTGTGGCATTGTGTGGTTGCTCTTGAGCAGGGCACGTTTCGTATGTGTAGACACACACTCACACACATACATACACGCATACATATGTCACGAATAAAAACAATTTATCATTTAGCTTATCAAGCAAGGCCTAGCGTCCATTATATTGCGGACGCTATGCGCAGAATTGTTTTTTGATGATAGCCACAGCCCCAAGCCATACCAAGTAGACAGCCCGACGGAAAGACAGCCGGAAAGACAAAGGGGCAGAACGCCGGCAGGCAGAACAAGCAGGGCAAATCCCATGTAAATAACATAAGAAATGCCCGAGAAATGATTATTGTGCTGTTCAGAAGTAACTGGCATATCCACCTGACTGTGATTTTGATGAAAATACATTGCATTTTCCAGTTACCCGCGTGTAGCCAGCTCACACAGGTATACACACGTACTGCTTGTGCTCCAAGTCAAACATTGAAATGCCTTCGCTGGCACAAATACGCAGACTATGCCCCTCTAATAACCGACTTGTGCCTGTACGGCGTGGCCCAACGTGCAACTAAAAACCAACAATTATGCATGCCAAACCGCAGAAACCGATGCACCGGCGGCAACAGCAACAGCAACAGCAACAGCAGCGGCAGCGACAGCCACATCAGAATTTGCATAACTTTGTATGATTTTTCAACAGCACAACGCCACAAAATCATTCAAACATGCACTGGCAAACCAAGCGAAAAGTTTGGCACCGTTACGCCTGCGAAATACCCTGCAAGGGAAACAATTCGTGCTAAGTCAAGTATTAAATCTATATTCGACGTGTTCTCTCAAGTGTTTCACTAGTTTCAACTGATGAGGCTACATTTTTTTACGTCAACTTTTTTCTGAGCTTTGTTATTTGGAAAAAACAAATAACCCATAAGGAAGTTCAAATCAATTTCTAAAGAAAATGATCGGCATAATATTTAGAGTACAATCCATTCAAAAAATCATATAACAATTTAGTAGCTTGCATTCTTATTGAAAAGTTTGCTTTAATATTCTAAAGAGTCGTTTTTTGTTACAATTTTAATCCCAAACGTATTAATTTACCATTTTTTTCTTCGAACTTTAGCACATAATTCCACCTAAATACCCTTTGTATGAGCATTAAAGGGTAAAAACGCAGCTATTCGCTTTCATCCACACACACACATGCTTATACAATGTCAGTGAGCCGTCAACATTTCAACTTGTCATGCGAGCAGACACATTCACATACACGCACACACATCCAGGTACACACACACACACACGTGCACACACTCACACACATAGAGCATGGTCGCAAGCCGAAGACGTTGCCGCTGGCCTACCTTCAATTTGTCTGGCTTCAGCGGGCATTCGATATCGTGGCTTTTGTTGCATACTTTTGCGACTGCAAGAACAACGACAACAACAACAAGGGCAACGAGAACGGCAAGGTATTATTTCAGTTACGTTTTGCGGAAATGCAACTAAAAACTTGCAATTTGTTTGACGTTTTGGTATTTTCAGTATGAATTTATAATGGCCCATAGCTCAACACCTGCCACTGGCATTACCATATTGTTTGTTTGTTGGTTACGTTTTATGTTCTTGTCGTCGCTTCGACTGTTGACGGGCCGTGTCCATTTCAATGCGATTCAAACAGATCCAATCCACTGCGAACCGGCCACCTGAGCTGAGCCGAACTCAGCTATTTAGCATGTTGTTTATTGGTATTTAAATGGCAAAGCCATTGCTGCAAGCTCACACACACACACACACACACACGTGCAACACACATGCGTATTTATGTTATGCCGCCGCAGTAACACAAAAAGGTAGCAACTTTTAATTGAAAAACTTGAGCACTTACAACTTGCCAGCAGCAGCGGGAAAAACTCAGGAGGAATATGCAGCAGCAAAGGTTCACAGTCAGCGAAATATATTGTATTTCCGCGCTACTCACACACACAAACACCCATGCACGCACACACACGCACGCACGCACACTCCCGCGCACATCTCGCCATCTATTAGCAATTGTAAAAGTAACAGTAATAGAGCAACTGGGGCATTGCGCGG